GGGGCAACAGCGAAGGTTGCGATCCCGTTGCCGGTCCCGGTCCGGTACGGGGGCGACACTGAGGGTTGCAATCCACTGCCGGACACGGAAAAAGCCAAAAAAAAAAAAGAATTATTTGCCTTTTGTTGCTCTTGGAAATGCAATTAATACTCTGGTATCACAGCGCACAGCTCTCAGGATCACGCTGTCTCCTGGCACGGCCGCTCCAGACCCGTCGCCATCTTAATCTCCTAGTTATTTTTTCTTTTTGAAGCTAAAGAGCGACTCTGATGCTTTCTGCGCTGTGAACACCTTGCCGGGCCATCTAGGCGCAGCAGTCACATCCTTCTCTGATAGTCCCGATGGCTACAGGCCGCACTAGTGGCAGCCATCTGTGCAAGTCAGTCAGTATCAGGAATCGTGAGTCCTCATTCTGCCTCAGGTGCTGTGTGAGGGGCACCTGACGACTGAGACATATCAACATACTTTACAATAAATTAAGCAGTAGTCAGCCAATTGCACAGGGCAGCAGCGTAGAGTAAGTTGCAAACTGGAATTAAGTAGTTGTCCAGTGTATACTCTATCCCTTAAGTTCTGAGTCACAAATCAAAGCCACAGCAAATTTATAAAATACCTTCAGAAGTCATCAAGGGAAGCAGAGCACACGTCCCTTGCACAATGGAAGCGAAAGTACTGAGCTTTGGAATAAAATATCCTGTTTTTATGTGTATTTGATAACCAGACCATTCTTTTTAGTCTGAGAGTATAAGTAGTCCAAGCATTATAAATATGACTTATTCTTCTCAGGGGATTAGGCAATCCTGAGTATAAACATTTATTCACTGCTCTGTCTCTGCAGCCTACACCATACCTGGGCTCAGTCTGTGTCCAGCAAGTATCTGACAGTGAATGAGGGAGTGAATGAATCAGTGAAACAAAGAGGCAACATTTCCTTCTTTTTCCTAAAACCATATAGTTTTTTTCCTTACAGAAAATGTTGTATTTGTAACAGTATTATATTAATGTTCCTCTTTTGAAGCCCAAATTCCGCTTTGAGTTACTAAACTTTATTCATGGTAAGTTCAGTCACTTAATTTCCTGGATGCTACCAGTAGGACAAGAAGCCAACAGACCTTTCCTGACTCTACAGATGTCTGTATTTGTCCTGAGTAGTCTGTGTGCTCCCAGAGAAACAAAGTCTGGGGTCCAGGGATCAGGCCTAGGAAGGCGGCTTGTGGTCAACTGAGGCAACTCACGTGGTCCTGAAATATCTCAGGCTGTGGCTGTGAGCTAGTTACCAATTCATAGTTTTATATCACTAGCTAAATACAGAGATATTTGGCTTGTAGTTATACTAATTGCAAAGATATCAAATAGATAATATCTCACAGTCCTTTATAGAGATCCTTGAGACCATTTAGGCATTGAACTACTAGGACTAAGTCACTATTTTTTATTTTTTGTAGAATATTCTCAAAATGTTTTTTTCTTTTGAAATGCTTATTTGTGTCCTTATATAATTTTTTTAAATAATAATAAATAAGACAATAAAACAAAAAGACAGACATTAGAAAGGAGGAAATGAAAACGTCTGCACATGCCATAACTGTCTATGTAGAAAACCCCGAAGAATCCACTAAAAAACCCCTCGTAGTCTAGTAAGTTTAGTAAGGTTTCAGGATACAAGGAAACACTTTTAAAAAGTCATTTCTAATTCTTTGTTCTAGCAATGAACAATTGGGGTTGGAAAAGAAATTTAAACACCATTTATAACCCCCCAAAAGTGAAATACTTTAGTATATCTCTAACAAAATATGTGCAGGATCTATGTGCTGACAACTATAAAAATACTGATGAAAGAAGTTTTAAAAGATGTGAATTAATGTTCATGGGTTGGGAGACTCAGTGTTGTAGAATATTCACAAGCCAATTCTAAAGTTTATGTAGAAAGCCAAGGGAGCTCGAATTTGCCAGGTTGGAAGACACACTCCCCAATTTCAAGACTTATTGTAAAATAGTATTCAGGATGATGTATTTTTGACAAAGGATGGACACATTGATCAATGCAGAGAACAGAGAGCCCAGGAACAGGCCCACACATGTCAACTGATCTTTGACAAAGATAAAGGGAAGTCAGGTGGGGAAGGAAGGATCAAGGCAGCAGGTTATGTTGGGACAGCTGGTCACCCATGAGCAACAACAGAGCCTCAGCCTTGCCTCGTCCCTCACATGAAAATCCACTTAAAATGGATCTAAATGTAAAACTATAATCCCCTAGAAGAAAATGTAGGAGAAAACATGCATGACGTTGAGTTAGGCAAAGGGTTTTTAAACATGAGTTCAAAAGCCACGATCCATAAAGGGAAAAAGTGGTAAATTGAACTTCATCATAATTTAAAAGTTTTGCTCTGTGAATGAAACTGTTAAAATAAAAAACAAGCTGCAGATTGGGAGAAAATATTTGCAACTCACACTTCTGATAAAGGACTTGTACTCATAATACGTAAAGAAGCCTCAAAATTCAACAAGAACCCAAACAACCTACTCTAAAAGATGGGCAAAAGATCTGAATCGACACCACACCAAAGGTGATGTACAGATGGCAAATAAGCATGTGAAAAATGTTCAATGTGGTTTTTTATTAGAGAATTGCACATCAAAGCAATAATGAGACACCACTGCAGACCTGTTAGAATGGCCAAAGTCCAAGAGGCTGACAGCACCAGACGCCAAGGAGGATGCAGATGGGGATGCAAAATGGTAGCCTGTTTGGAAGACAGGTTAGCAGTTTCTTATAAAGTTAAACATACTTTTACCATATGACCCAGCTGACTTGTTCCTCACTGTTTATCCAAGAGATGTGAAAATGTAGAGTCACACAAAATTCTGTATACAGATGATTATGGCAGCTTTGTCAAAATCGCCAGAAACTGGGAACAACCAGATATCCTTCAGCCAGTCACTGGATGAACATTCCCGTGAGAGCAAGCAGCCAGGGACTAGTGCAGCCATGCGGCGGAGCGGTGAGAAGTGCTAGGCAGTGCAAATGAAGAGCCACCGGTGCACGCAGCCCAGATGAGCCCAGACACGTGCTTTGCAAGAGAGGCCAGACTGACAAGTTTGCATGACTACATTCACCTGACATCAGGGAAATGCAGAACCGTTGGGCAGAGAACAGATGCATGGCTGCCAAAGGTTTGGAGGTGGGAGGAGTGACACTGGAAAAGGGCCACACGAGGAGTTTTGGGTGAGGGGCTGCTCTGTCTGTCCCTGTGATAGGTGGCTCTAACTGCACTTCAGGGGAGTCCCAGGAGCACACTGAAGGGTGGAAGAAGAGCTCTCCTTGGCAGCTGTGGAGAACTGACGTGAGTCTCTGTAAGGCCAAAGACAGCAAGACCTGTACACAAGCCAGGGACTCATTTCAGTGAAGGAAGTGCTTGGTTTGCAGAGAAACAACTTTGTACACTAGGGCTAACGAGTAAGTACATCTATGGCAGCCAACAAGAACCAGGTACCCCGCTGCTGCAGATAGAAGATGCAAACGGAGAGCTAGACTGGAGTCGGGTCAGTTTGGGCTCATAGTGTTGTGCAGTAGATGAGTGAATGGATAAGCGGGGGTGTGTGTGAGTGTGGCTGAGTGCACATCTCCTCAAGCTGAGCACTAAGCAACAAGATGCGGGGGCACTGAGCGGAGCCCAGTCTCCCCAGAGGAGGGGTTGACTCCAAGCTGGGACAGGGAAGATACACAGTGAGCCTGAAACACCTGGGATGACAGAAAGTAGGGAGCTGCTCAGAAAGGTTGGTAACAATGACAATGGTGGTGGAGGCGTGTCAGAGGCTGGGGGTCCACCCAGAAGAGCTCCTGGGCCAAAACTTGAACAAATCGAGCAAGAAAATAAGTAGTCTTATTGGATCATAGCCAAAGAATAAAATATTGTCAAGTCTATACTAATGGAAAGAGAAAGGCCTTACTGAAGAACAAGGGAGATAGGAAGGTGCCACCGACCACCCAACAGGAGCACCCGACAGGAGCACCCCGGCAGGATTGCTGGCAGTAGGATCCCCCAATGGATGCTGAATTTAGCAGGTGAAAGTTTGGAGAGAAACATCATATTTGCATTGTCTGAAAGTATCTTCCCCAAGATATGTATTAATTACAAAGGGACAAAATAGTAATTTAACAGTGGCAACACCCAGCAGACACCATCTTAACCAAGTGACAAAGTTCACTTCACCAGCGGGAGGTCAAACGAAGGCCCTGTGGTGTCTGATCATTGGAGAACTTTAGGAAAACCCAAACTAAGGGGCACTCTACAAAGTCACTGCCTGTAGTTTTGAAAAGTACCCAAGTCATTAAAAACGAGGAAAGAGTACAGAGATGGCCAGGCCACAAGAGCCTCAGGAGGCAGGAGGGCTCAGGCAGCATGGAGTCCTGGGGGACCCTAGGACAGAAGAAGGATGTGCATGGAAAACTGGTTTTGTCAACATTGTGCCGGTCTTAGTTTCTTAGTGCTGAATGCTGTTCTGTGTTTACATGAAGTGTCATACTGAGGTGAGGCTGGTGGCTGGCCCAATGGGAACCACCTGTGCCACTCTTGAAAGGCCTCTGTGAGTCTAAAGAGATCTTAGAATAAAATAGTTAGAGAATCATCAAAGCCAAGAAGATGCTTCTCAGATAGGATAATAGAATCATGTCTTGCAAAACTGCAGTCTCGTCCTTGGCAAGTTTCAAGATTTCATAAACAGTTCTACACACACACCACCCTGAACGGGCCGATTGCATCTGGTCTTGGAAGCTAAGCAGGGTCGGCCTGGTTAGTACGTGGATGGAAGGTTTCATACACAGCACGTGTCTGCTCCTGACCCTGGTCTGGACTCACATCAGTCTAGGGAAGCAAACGCACTGTCTGCATTCCAGATCGCATTTGATCTGTTCAGAAATACTCTGTCCAATAATGCTTCAAGTTCATTCTGTATTCTAAGAGCAGTATTTAATTGAATGAAATTGATTTTATCCACTTAAGAATGAAGGAATGAAACCTGTAAGCAATTGATAACCATAATTTCAAACCACTAATACAAGAAATGAAAGTGGGGGTGGAGTGAGCCGCAGGGAGCAGAAGACAACTGGAAAACTCACTGCCGCTGTGTTTGCTGACAGCCCCCATGCCAGTGTCTTCTGCCGTCGCATTCTCTTGTAGACGGGAGAAACACATCTGGTGGTTAGGAAGCTCTTATTCTTCCCCAATCTCTGTTCCTGACAGAGTCAGATCGGCGCACACAGTGGCTGGTCAACCCACAGGACTTCTTCCTGGACGTCACTCTGCACCGCCTTCCCTCTCTGCTTAGAAGATTTTTCCTGGTGCGTTTCAATTGCACGTTTTTTCTAATCTTTTAGTTGCCTGTATGATCTTTCTATTCCAGAATACCCCGAAATTACTGTAATTATGGGAATATGAGGAAAAACAACCAACTTTTTGGTGGTGGTTCTAGGAGGAATAAGAAGTAAACTAAGGAGGTAGGCTGGAGAACACATCACAGCAGCAAGAACAGTGCTCACAGCAGGGCGCAGGGAGGCCCGGTGAGGCAGAGCCACTGACAGGTCACTGCTGGCCTCGGTGCCCATGGCACAGATCTGTTCACGTGGAGTCCTGTCCACAAACAGTCTGCATGTTGGTCTCACCTGTGCGTGTTACATACAGCATGGCACTTGGTGCTTCGTATTAGCAGTTTTACTCATATGACCTTCAGGTGGATTAATCTCTCCTTAAAATGTGCTTGATTTTTGGGCCGAGCCCGTGGCGCACTCGGGAGAGTGCGGCGCTGGGAGCGCTGCAGTGCTCCCGCCGCGGGTTTGGATCCTATATAGGGATGGCCGGTCACTGCTCACTGGCTGAGCGTGGTGCGGCCAGTCTCAAAAAGGACAAAAAAAAAATGTGCTTGATTTTTTCTTTTTTTTTTTTTTTTTTTACATTTTTGCTTGAATTATAATAGAAGTATACCTTCTGAGTCTGAAATATTTAATTGGTGAGTTAACAACTGTGGTATCAAGTGTTTACTATGTTTCTGGCAGTGCACATATTTTATTACATGGCTTATTTTCTTTAGTCCATATAAGGTACATACCATTATTATTTCTATTTCTCAGAAGAGGAAACTGAGGCATAGGAAGGGTGTGGTGGGCAGACCTCAGCCCCTGGCAGTCTCAGTCCTGATCCCCTGGACTCTTCTGAGTCAGAGTGACAGATACTTTCTTCCTCTCCCTAAACCAGATAAAAATGGGCACAAGCCCAGGGAGAGCGCTTCTCATGGGGTACAGAATCCCTGGGAAATGAATTGCTTTGCCGAATGATAGTCTGTACCATCAAAGAAGATGAGATTTTGTTTCTCAAAGCTTAAAGTGTGGGAGCCATTAATAAGCATCTACATCAAGGAGCAAGGGGTTCATGCATATTTTTCTCAAATTGTTTATTTTATTGATGGTTTTTGCATGCTTTCTGTTGTGTTTGCTTTTGTTAATCTACAATCTGCTTGGATACAGGAGCCTTCCCAGATGAGGGAGCTTCAAAGTTTGTGGAAAAATAGAATTAAAAGATAATACAAATCTTTCCATGAACTTTTTGAAGTACCCCTGTAGTGTAAATTTGATGTACAGTCTTAAATACCTTTTGATATGTTTGCAGCTTCTAACTTGAGAAATAGCACAGATGCCTCCATTTATCTTTTGACATGTAAATTGATAATATCTCATGTAAATAATATTGAATGCATTTCAGCAAATCTTGCTACAAAGTAAAAATCTCTTACTCTTATTATAAGAAAAATTTAAGTTAAAAGTTTTAAAAAATTCCTTTTAAAGTCTTCAAATAAAATTAGCCACATACCTAATTATAGGTAAATTTTATGACCAAAGATCAAACACCCACTATTATCCAGTCAGAGAAATGTGCTTGGGAAATATGTACTAAAAGAACCTATTTGAAATATGTAAATGTTTAAGTTTGAAGTTTCTGCTTTTTAAAAATCAATACTGCCTTTTAATAAGTTACAATGTATTTGAATCTTCTCACCCTCACATGTAGTCAGACTCAGGATTCAGGCTTAGTGTCTTCCCAGATCAGCACTTGTAGCCAAGGAAAACACTTAAATAAGTTACCATAATTATCTTTTACAATAAACTACAACTAGAATGACAATTCATAAATCTGCATTTGTGATTTTCTATAGGAATATCACCGCTTTTCTATTTTGAGTATGTCCTCAACAGACTCAAGGTAGATGTGGGATTCAGGTCTAGAGTCTGACTCTGGCCTGTAGCAGTCGTCACCTCTGAGCTTTTATAATGGTCCCTCTTTCCTTTGTGGCACTTAATTACTTCCTGACTCTGAGCTGTGCCCGTCTGCAGAATCTCTCCTATGGGTTGGTGTCTGGTTGAGGCAATAGCTACTCTTAATTGTATGGCTAGGCAATTCACAACTAAAGCCAAAATGTTTCATTATTTTAGTTATACTAAGTTTTTTCCATTTGTATTGTCAGGGCTAGGGCTCAGACCCTTCAAACCCATTGTACACACTGGGTCACAAACCCCTCACATGCCACGCTGTGTCGCCAGAGCCCTCACATGTAGGTCCACACTAGGTAATTGGGAAAGATCCCAGAAGCCATTGGCAGATGTCACAAGCTCAGTCCTCAGCACTAGCAGCAGCAGCAGCAGCGGTGGCCTCTCAGGGCATCCTGGGGGCACTAGCAGCAACAGCCTCTAGCAGCAGTAACGGCCTCCCTGTGGCCGTCCCAGGGGTAGGCGGTGCCATGGATCAGAGCATTTGTCCTTTATACTTAAGTCCATAACCCAGGACACTTGGGTGCACATGCAGTTACACTAGACAACAACCAAGGAACACCTGGGCACATGTGCATATTTACATCAGATGCTCATCAAGATTCTGAACACCTGAGGGGCCCTGACCATTTTCCTATATTTTCCCAACAGTGGGGAAGCCCCAAATTAAATGCAGAACTCTAGACTCAGATGAGTTACACTACTCAGTGCCACTAACCTGCCGTGTGATCTCGAGGGACTCACCTGTGTCTGTAAGTGGACCTGTCAGCTTTGTCTAACCAAGGTGCCACGCTGCTGAGAAAATGGAAGCAAAACCACCAGATAAATGTGAAGGTCTGAGTAAACACATGGTTCTGGAGGTGGTCTCACCAGGGCTAGTCCTAACACCCTACTTAGCGGGGCCTCTCTGACATGTGCTGCCTTCAACACATCTTGAGTGCCGACAAGTGCGTGCAGCTAATTGATGATCCGGTCTTCCTTCTTGGTTTTAAGTATCTTTGGGAGTGTGGTTAGACAAGAGATACCATGCTCCAGGATTCTCTGCCTCTGACCCATCTCTTGTCATCTGTGCTGAATTTTAAGAAGTGAAGGGTTTTGCAGGGAACTGTTCTGTTTGAGCGGGATTTTTTATGTGACATATTTTCCAGGAAGGATTTAAGGGATAATAAATCTTCAGTTGAGATAGGCTGTCCTTACTGAAGAGCTGTTACCTTTTGTATTTTTCTATCTGAAGAAACTGAACAGTAAATATAGGAATATTTGTTCCCAGGAAATAAAGAAGTAAGGGGAAATTATTTTTGTTACAAAGAGAGTTTTTATCCCCTAATTCATTGAAATGTTTGTTTATATACATCAACTCCCAGGTTACTAAGAAGCCAGGGAACATAAAACTGTGGCTTAAAGGTCATGCAGACCAAACAAAAGAGAACATTAAGCCTTTTTAACTGAAGGTATTCACCAGGGGACTGTTGTGGTGTCTTTGCCACTTTTGCAGATGCAGGGGCTCCCTGAAAAGCTCATTGGTAGACCAAACAGTTGGGACAGTAAATGCCTTGGGGCTTGGGGACCTGGGGGTCTTTTAGAAGTTAACCATATCTAGCTCCTTAAAAATACATGAGTCAAGCATGTTGTTCTGCTCTACTAACTAAGCTATTCCACTGTTTACTCTAGGGGAGATCCTTATCCTTTAAGACCTTCCTCATCTGGGTTTTAATCAGTATTTACCAAGGTAAGATGGGGCCCTAATTTTACTGGACTAAAGTTTTTTTGTTTTTTTTGTTTTTGTCTTCTATTAGCAATACTGTTTTCACCTCCAGGTTAAATTCCATTTGCTTAAAATTTTGTCAGCTCTCTGTTGAAAATATTGCCTTCTGTTTATCTTGTAAATTGATTTTCCAATGATGTGGATAGGTATTTTTTTTAATGATGCATGTCACCTAAAACTGACCTGTTTTTAATTAAGTGTTAATCCAGAAAAATTTTAGCCAGCACTTATCACATTGTATACACTGCACAATGGTTTTCTTTCATGGAGTGATAGCAAGACTTGAGAAATCTGAATTATGTAATAAGTCATTAGCTAGTCTTTGTTTAGTGTTCCAGATAAATGAGAGATTGTTGACAGTGTAATTAACAGATAGCTCAGATATATTACGTGAAATGCATAATTATTTACACTAATTGAAGTGGAGGTATAGCTTTTCCTCCAGATAGTAAAAAGTTTGTAGGCCTCTACTTGATATTTCCAACCTATCTAGTTTGTGCCGTATCTTATTTTATTCCTAATGCAGAATATAAATGAATTGTTCATCAACACAGAGTATAGGTGTGGACATAATCCCGTATTTTAAAGTGTTATTAATGAGTTAGCTAACATGCTTATTTTTTCTAATTGGGTTACATAATAATATAATTTCCAATCCAAGGAGAAAATTTGTCTATATAAGAAGCCACCTCCGCCCCTGGTGTTTTTCAGGGGGTGTCCTCATGTTCGGGGCTCTGTTGCTCTTCGAGTCTGAGTTTGTGCACGTGGTGGCCATCTCCTTCACGGCTCTGATCCTGACCGAGCTGCTGATGGTGGCACTCACCGTCAGGACCTGGCACTGGCTGATGGTCGTGGCCGAGTTCCTCAGTCTGGGCTGCTATGTGGCCTCGCTTGCTTTTCTTAGTGAATATTTTGGTAAGTTGCCTTAATACTTTTCTGAGTCATTCTCTGTTAGTGGTTTCCAAACATTTTTTGTTGTTACTTCTTAATACATGGTCTTAAATTGTAGATAACAATAAAACCCGTATCAGAAAGTTTCACAATTTACAGCTTATTTTTGTGCAGAGACAAACTCATTACAATAATTTATAAAATTAAGATTATCACCTTCTACGGTTTTAAAAAAATAATAAGGTTGTGCTTATTTCCAAAAATTCTTCCCACAAGAGTGGCCTTGCCTGTCCTTTGTTCATAATTGAAGCAGCTGACTGCGCCAAGGCAGAGACACTCTCTGCTTACTGCTTCGTGCACACAGAAGGGGCTCTCTGCACTTTCTCGGCTCTCTGCAGAGGTCACGGCGTGCAGGCTGTACGGCAACCACATTAGCAGCCCAACTGCACACATCTCAAGTGGCATCGGAAATGTCATCGACAGCACCCCTCCTGGAACCTGTGGTCTCAGCACTCTGCTGCTGTCCAGCACACCTACCCTGCTGACTCCCATCCCCGCCTCACTGCTGCTCGCCAGGTGGCCTTGAGAAAGTGGTTTGGCCGCCCTGATCCTCAGTTTCCTGCCAAGAGTGAGGTCACCTGTAAGGCATCTGGAAGCAGCAGCCGTTGCCCTCGCTGTGCTCCACAGAAAACAGAGAACAAGTCAGAGTAGCCAGACTGCCACGTTTCCTCTTGACCTGCTTTGCTCTTCTTTTCTCCAGAGGTCAGGATTCCCTAGGAACTGGCTAAGGAGTCATCCCTTGCTTTCCACCAGAGTCGCTCGCTTGAGAGGAAAGAACAGTTGAAAATGAGCCTGGTGTGCATTTGCTTTGGGGCAATGTCCCCATCGTCGGTGCACATGCCGATCCTTGTGTCGCCTCCACTCCCAGGACTTCCTGCTTCCCCAGCCAGCAGCCGGGGCTCGGAGCCACCCTCACTGCCCCTCTTCAGCATACCCAGCCCGTTACTCTTCCTGCCCATGTTCCAGGCCTTTTCCAGCCACAGTTGGAGAGTGCCAAACACGTTGCCGTTAGTCAGTTAGTTACATCCTTGCGTCATCCAAAAACTGATTGGTGTGGCTAATAAGACTGTATATGATCTCTTTAATAAGGTTTTTTTATTTTTTTTTGTTTTTATTTTTTATTTTTTTATTTTTTCCTTTTTTTTGTCTTTTTTTCGTCTTTTTTTCATGTCCGGCAACGGATCGCAACCCTCAGTGTCGCACCCATACCGGACCGGGACCGGCAACGGGATCGCAACCCTCGGTGTTGCGCCCGCACCTCGCTCAGCCAGTGAGCGGGAACCGGTCTGTATGTGGGATCCGAACCCTCGGCGGGAGCGCCGCCGCGCTCCCAAGCAGCGTACTGTAGCAGTGCGCCACCGGGCCGGCCCAATAAGGTTTTTTTAAATCAGGGCAGTGAGACAAGAAAGAATGTGCTCACATGAAACTAGAGGGGATGTCTGTCCTAAGGACTGCTTAGCATGAGGTCTTAATGCGGTTCCCAAAGCTTGGCTTAGTCCACATCTCCTGGGGCCACAGCAACAGGGTGGACATGTCGGTTACTGCACCATGTTACACATCAGAGCCATAACTCAGTAGCTTAGCATCAAGGCAGTTCTTTTCCTGGACTGACTGACAGTTCCAGTTTTCATAAAAGGGAAAAGTGCATCACGCCCCTGACAGTGTCCTCCACAACTACAGCACTAGCTGAAAGTAGTATCTTAGCTAATCATCCCAGTCAAGTCAGTCGCTTACCTGCTATCCCTGGGTTACACACGAGGACACTGTGACCTCTGGGTTACTCGTTTGCTGCAGTTTGCGCATCTGACATGAGCAGCAGAGATGCTCCAAGAGTGCCTGGGGCTTAATCTGCAGTCACAAGACAGAAAAGCACATTGCAGACCACTGCTTATTCTGCTCACTGAGCAGGCGCCCAGTGGTAACATACCGGCAGTAAACATGCTTTTGTATTAAAAGAAATGTGCAAAAAAATTACCTGTAGCATATAAGAAATGGCTATTTTCAAATTATAATATCTCAGTTATTTTTATTGAGAGTAAGCATTTAGTATATATTCCTTCACAATCATGAATGAATACACTTAGGCCTGTAGAAATGCTGGTTTACTTTTATGGCATTCCACATTTCCCTCATTGGGCAACATGAGGTGTCTTCACATGTTCATGGAAAGTGCATATTATGAAAAAACTACATGGGTTTCAATAGTTTTTGCACCAATATAAACTCATATTAATTTGTTATAACATGTCTGAACAGGATTTCTCGTTTGAGGCACTGAGAAGGAAAAGACATCAATATGAAAACAGCCCCTATCAGAGCAGCATGAATTCTGCTAAGATTGAAGCAAGAACAAACATCATATTTATGGCAAAGATTAAGAGTAGTGAAATTATTGACACTTTACACAAAGTTTATGGGGATAATGTTTCAAAGAAACCAGCAGTTTACAAATGGGGAAAGGATGAGATGATGTTGAACATGAAGCCCACAGCCACAGACCTTCCACATCAACTTTTGAGGAAAAAATTAATGTTCTTAATGCCCTAATTGAAGAGGACCAATGCTTAACAGCAGAAACAATGGCCAACACAACAGGCATCTCAACTGGTTCACTTACACACTTCTGACTGAAAAGTTACAGTTGAGAAACTTTCTGCTTGATGGAACAGCTGCACTTAAGAGCAGAGCTTTCAATGGAAATTTTTTTTTTTTTTTTTTTTTTTTTTTGAGACCGGCCGCACCACGCTCAGCCAGTGAGTGCTGTGAGCGCACCGGTCATCCCTATATAGGATCCGAACCTGCAGCAGGAGCGCTACTGCGCTCCCAGCGCCACACTGTCCTGCGTGCGCCACGGGCTCGGCCCTCAATGGAAATTTTAAATGAGTTGGGATCAAGATCCGAAGCATTTCTTGGAAGAATTGTAACAGAAGATGAATCACAGCTTTACCGGTGCAATCCTGAAGACTAAGCACAATCAAACTGTGGCTACCAAGAGGTGGAAGAGGTTCAGTCAAAGCAAAAGTGGATTGATCAAGAACAAAGGTCCTGGCAACAGATTTTTGGGATGCTCAAGGCATTTTGTTTGTTGACTTTCTGGAGGGCCAAAGACCAATAACATCTGCTTATTAGGAGAGTGTTTAGAGAAAGTTAGCCAAAGCTTTAGCAGAAAAACACCTAGGAAAGCTTCACCAGAGAGTCCTTCTCCACCACAACAATGCTCCTGCTCATTCCTCTCTTCAAAAGGGCAATTTTACAAGAGTTTTGATGGGACATCATTAGGCATCCACCTTACAGACCTGATTTGGCTCCTTCCAACTTCTTTTTGTTTCCTAATCTTAAAGAAATCTCTAAAGGGCACCTGTTTTTTTTCAATTTAGTAATTTTAAAAAGACTGCATTGATGTGGCTAAACTCCCAGGACCCTGTGTTCTTTAGAGGTGGACTAAATAGCTCGTGTCATCACTTACAAAAGTGTCTCAAACTCAGTAGAGCTTACATTGAGAAATAAAGTTTACAGTTTTTTAAATCTTTTAATTCCATGTTTCCATGAACTTTTTGAAATCCCCTCATATATACAGAACACAAAGCAAAATACTGAAATTGGAAAAACAAATACAAATATCCTATCTAGTCCAGTGCTATAATGAACAAACACAAAATTGACTTTTTGAAAGTGAATTATAAAAATGATGAAGACAAACCCAGCCTAAGTGGACTTGGCAGTACTTATCCCCCGTGAGCCTGTTTTCTCGTCTGCTGGAGGTAGGTGAGACTGGAGGTGATACCACTTCCCTTTAAGAACAGGTCTGAAGAGGAGTGTAACATAGCCAGCAACGTGTGAACAGGGAGACAGGACTCCTTTCATGTGTCCAGAGCGTGGCGAGTACTTGTGTGCTCTGCATTCTGAGAGGTGTCCCTTTGAGACTGTTTTGGGCCTAGATCCAATAGCAGAGTGTCCGGGCGTGTGCTTTTAAGTCACAGTATTTCAGTATGTATTTCAGTACGTTTGAAAATCATATGGTAAGAGGCCATGAAAGGAAAGGGATAAAGCCACAATTACAGATGCCTTTCACAGTCATTTTTGCTTTCAGTGTACTTCTTTATATGTTAGCTAACCCCTTGGAATGTCCAGATATCTATTTTAATCTATCCCTTGTCTTCTTTATTCCTGTTTTTTTTTTTTTTTTTCTTCCCCTTGTAACAGGTTCAGGCAGAGTATCTTTCGGAGCTTTCTTAGGTAGGTGAAGTTATTTCTTTCAAGAGTATAGGAATTTAGCAAAACACTGTTGATAAAGAAACGTAACTGATAAGAAAAAAAAAATCTTCCTCTAACGTACCGATTCCCACTAACTCTCTGTGACATCACATAAGCTGTTTATTGTGTGTTTTACTGTTTGGTGACAGGCTGGGGTGGCGCATGCCTGTTCACACGTTCTGTGGCTCACAAGGGAAGGGAGGTGTAGAGGGCATCCTGCAGGCTGCTTACCAGGGTCACATGAATCCAGGAGCTGACTGCTGATCCTCCCAAAATATGTTTGCCTTTTAAGTTCTAGTGGTTAAGCTCCTGTAAAACACTTTCAGGGTTTTTCAAAATATGGGTAAATGCAGACTATGACTTCCTTTATGGGCTCTGATACAATATACAGAGAACAATTGTTTTTCCTACATCATTTATTTTTGCAGAAGTCTGTAACTTCTAGTAAGTAGATCTTTCAGTCCCATCTTCTGACAGTAGTCTAAAGGTAGAATCAAACTACGTAGATATCAAGTTTTTCACATGCCTCTTCTCATAAAGGACTTAAATAGCCTAGTTCTTCTGTGGAGCTGTCAGGAGGGACTGGTGGGCGTGTTCTCTGGGATGGCTGGGCTGCAGAAGGATTAAGAACAGGCATGTCTGAGTCCTCGCGTGGCAGGATGGAGCTGCTGAGGCCTCCTGTTGCCCCAAGCAACAGGTGAAGTCGGCTCTACCTTAGGAAAAAAAGAAAGATTAGCCTAGATAGTCTAAACAAATCATAGAGATGAGATGACTCAGTATTACCTTGCAAAGTACCATAAAAAGCACTTCAGTCTCTTACAAATACTGTTGCAAAGCATTGATGGGGTTGTATACAGTCTCTTTCTAATATTGTGTTTTTACTTACTCTGTTGAAAGAAGGATTTATTATACCCGGTATACAGGTAAAGTAAATACTGCAGTGTAGAGCCTGGGATTTAGAGCTGAGCTGCCTCTAAAAGTGTGGCAGTGCTTTTTCGGAGGCTCCCTGGTCATCCCCTCAGGGGGCCATGAGGGCCTGGGAGCCTTCTTGGTTGGCTGTCACACCGTCTGCTCCGTTTGTCTCCCACAGATGTTGCCTTCGTCACAACCGCCACCTTCTTGTGGAAAGTGTCAGCCATTACTCTCGTCAGCTGTCTTCCGCTGTACGTCCTGAAGTACTTGAAACGCAAGCTGTCTCCTCCCAGCTACTCCAAGCTCACCTCCTGAGGGACTAGTACCTTCCAGATCTGTCCAGGGAACGCAGGATGTGCAGTTTGCTGTGGAGAGGGGCATGTGAGAAAGGGAGGGCGCGAGCCTGAGAGGAGTGGAAGTGCCCAGCTCCAGACCCCGGAGAGACGGGAGGGTCTCACCTGCACTTCGCTTTCTTCCTTTTTATTGGTTCAGACTTTAACGCCCATATTGAAACAGCTTGAGTTTGTGTTGACAATGAGCCCTAATTATTTCACTGTTACTGTAAATGATTTTCTTCCTCTGGCATTCTGAGAATTGAAATGAAAGTTAATTTCTGCAATTTCCTACCATTCAAAGTGTTTCTTTGATGTCTTTCCTGCTTACGTGTAATAAAATCTAGACACCATAGGTGCCCGTCAGTGTGTACTGCGGCTCCAGCAGACGCTGACTGGGCACATGTGGATGGCAGGTGCTGCAACCCGCGTGCTGCCCCTGCCGTGGCTGTGCCCCTCCTGTCCATGTCCTGTGCTCCAGCAGGGACCGCGTCCACTCAAGCCCTCACTCAGAGGCTGTCCTCCTTCCCACACACTGGAGCCGAGCTGGACGAGCGGTAACATTTCTGAACATAATTCCACTGCAGCTGTGAATATAAGCCATTCCTCAAAGGCATCGCTGTTAGGAAAATGTTTTTAAAATCCCCATCTTTTTTATATTTGTAAGAATCACACTCAGACACCACTGCTCTATATAGAAATCAGCTGTCCTATAAAACGTGCATCACCGAAGGGCTCTCTTGACTGTAACAGGTTTTCCTACTTTACCTAGTGGGTAAAACACACGTGTACACACCTGATTGATATTATGGTAGAAAAAGCCCTTCACCTGCCAAGCTGTAATGACGGTGTTTGAGCCAGACCCCTTGCCCTTGTTAACTCGGTAATTCCTTCGGGGGCAGGAGTTAGTTCTCTCTACTGGGTACTGTGCCTGTGCGGTCTGAACCTGTGTGTTGTGCCGTGACCACAGAAGTGCTCATTCTTAAAGGGGTATATTGGAGGACCGCTCAGCAAATCACTCACTGCATTAGTCAAACACCAGGCCTCTTGACTAAAAGGACAGTTTCTTCATATTTCCTAATACAGGATGTCGCTGTCCTCTTTGCACCAGATGTTTTATGGGCGTTCACGTTCTTCGGCTTAATTTACCTTCAGATGTGGGCCCAGTCACCCGTCGATCATTGGGGAAGAACTCCGAGGGAACTTCCCAAACACCAGCGCTCCTGCCAACCGCTGATTTTCAAAGGAGAAAATCAGCCCCCAGTAGAGGCAATAAATTTTCACTTCTTCCCAGATAGTGTGACCAGTGCCTTTCGATTTGAATTTGTTTAGCAGGTTATCTTTTGGATGCCTGAGCACTCTGAGTTTCTTATGTTTCCCACAAGGTGTCACTGTTTTTTGTTAGTTTGTCTTGGAAACACTTGGTTTTATGAGGTTGCCAGGCTGGTTTTCTTGTTTGTGTACTGAATGACTGTACTTGCAGACATCACTGACTGGCATAGGTTGATTTGGATTTCACGTGTCTTAATGCCTCCTTCAGAAGCAGTTTGAATTGGGGGCATTGGATTCATAGAAATCTCAAGTACTCACACCCATGAAATGAGGTCACACCACTCAGGGCTCGGGAGCACAGAGTCCTCAGTGCAGATTAGGCAGTCGCTCACCTTTGGCTTGTTTTCTTTTTCTTTTTCTTTAATAAACCACTCACTATGAAGTTGATTAACCCAGTTACTTTAAATTATAGATAACCTCAGAAAAACTAGAAACCATGAGCCTTTGGGAATAACGTTTCAGTACAACTTAAAAATAGAGACTTATGATCCTTCAGTTAGTTGGGTACTGAATAAGGAGACATAATCAAGCATTAGTCTCAAGAAAATAAGATGTATTAAGTCCAAATTAGAGACTGTAGGAAGCCAAGATGTGTTTTCATCTGTGGAGTGAAAATAATCTCTGCCTTGGGACACTGCTATTCAGATTAAATGAGATAAAGGACAGGAAGGGGTCTCAGCAGATGACTGACATGCGGTAGGTGACCCAGGGATGTCTGTGAGGTTGACTCTCTGCCAGATGAAAGAAGATAAGCACCTGAAAAAGGATCTTAGGTCTCGTTCAGTTCAGGTTTGTGAGCCGACCCTTTGAGAGAAGGAGGCAGTGCCCTGAGGTCATGCGAGGAGCTGAGCCACCGGGCAGGGCAGTTAGGCACTGTCCACCAGTCTGTGGCGTGGCCTCAGTGTGTGCAGACATTCCAGGTTCTGGAACTGTGTCAATCCCAGAAGACTCCTGGCCTACTTCTGTGTGCCATCCGGCTGGCAGGACTCAGGAGGACTATGCACAGGGAGCGTGTTCTCAGTGCTCGGGTGCTGTGCCATCTTGCCCTGTCTGTTGTGAGCCCGAGAGAGTAGAGACCATTCTTTAACTCAGCACGTGGTTTACAAGTGTCCACAGTGTGTCCAGTGCTGTGCTGGCCCTAAGCTTACCTGTAGGAACGTGCCGGACACATCCTGCCCATGATGTGAGCTCCTGGGAAAGAAGCTAAGTAGCGTGGGGGTGAGCACCTGAAGGAGTTAACAGGACGGGTAACCGAGGGGCGACTCTTCAGAGAGGGGGGTTGAAGCTAAGACCAGAAAAATAAGGAGCCATGTCATGCAAAGACTGAGGGAGTGAGCACTGTGCTCAGGGAGCAGTTCGTGCACAGACACAGAGAAGGGCCGCAGTGAGCCAGCGCTGTGAGGGCAGAGCCCGACGGTGAGGCAGTCAGCAGGCAGGTGAGGCAGGTGGGCAGACGGATGCATGAATGGCTGGATGGGTAGGTGGGTGAATGGACAGACGGGTGGGTGGAGGGGTAGGTAGATGGATGGGTGGTGGGTGGATCAATGAGTGACTTTGCTGCTGCTCTCCATAGCCTCGTCCTATTCCAGGTTAGTGACTATCATACCTTTTTCTCCCAGTATTTCTGAATCAGAGAGAGCTACCCTGTGTTCCCAAAGCCTGTGAGCACACACCCCATGAAGTCAGAGCAGACTGCAGAAGCAGCCATCTCTTCCTTCCTGTGCTGCTCAAGGTTCAGCAAAGAGGCTCTGCAGATTCAACCAACCGTAGGTCGAAAATATTTTTAAAATAAAGTTTTAAATTACAATACAACAGTGAAAAATACAAACTAAATGCAGGATAAACTGCTTACATAGCATTTACATTGTGTCAGGAATTACAAATACTCAGGAGATGATTTAAAGTATACAAGAGCATGTCTTTAGGTTACATGCAAATGCCATGTTATTTTATATCAGGGACTTGTGCGTGGAGCAGGGGGTCCTGGAACCAGTGCCCCGTGGATACTGAGGGACCTGAGAGACAACTGTAGTCGAAAGACCCCCCACAGAGTGGACCAGATGAGCTGAACGTTCATCTCCTTTCTGTGATAGCGGTGGGCAGACCCAAGCCCCTCTGTCTGACTCCCCCACCCAAGGCCTAGGGTCGTCCTTATGTGACCATCAGCTGCTTGATGGCATCTGTGGGAAGAAGGAGGTCGAGGAGACAGAGGTGTTGTGCATGATCATGACTTCTGCAAGTGGACAGACTACAGCCAGGAGGCAGAGACTCAGACCGGATGAAAAGCAAGGCAGAGATGTGCTGTCTGAGGAGAGAAAGACTGAAGACAGACGCAGGTGGGCTGAGGGCGAAAGGTGGGAAGCTCTGGCATGCACATGGCATCCTGCGAAGTGGACCGAATGGCAAGAAGCACCATGGAGACAAAAGGAACACGACAGTAATTAAGGGTGGGAAGCACGTTCAAGTGAATTAAAGGGAGGGTGCATCAGAAGAACTTCTGTGGACTCAGCAGACCAGTCCACCGTCCACGTCGTAGATGCCATCTTGAACACACTTCCGTCAGTAACTGATGGAGCAACTATACGGGACCAGGACAGAGAGGGAAGCTGGGGACCCTCAGCCACATCATCCTAACTGACGTGCAGAGTGCCACACCCAGCCACGCGGAGGGCGCCCCAAGGAGACCACGTGCTGGGCCAACAGGCAGGATTCCTGGAGAAGCCCAGAGGGCTGACTTCACTTCTAGGGAACCCAGGGGCCAAAGAAAAAGGGGTTAGAGAAATGTAAACTATTTTCAGCTGAACAATAATGAAAACATGCCAGAACTTGAGAGACGCAATTCAAGCTGCGCTCGAGGGAGATTTACAGATGTAAATGCTTACGTTAGAACATGAGGTCTAAAAGCAGTTGTCCAGACCTCCACTTGAGGAAGCTAGAAAAATAGTAGCAAAGCAAACCTGAAGGCAGCAGAAGGCAGGAAACACTGAAGATGGACTTCAGTGAAACACAGAACAGATGAGCAGCAGAATTCAAGAAGACCAGAAGCTGGTTCTTTGAAAAGATCAAAATTGAGTCAAAAAATGAATCTAGCCGTGATGAAGACAAAGAAAAACTACAAATTGGCCATAGTGTAAGATTCGACTGATGGAATGGGCCGGCTGCTGTGATTCAGAGATGGCGCACATGCCGTGGTTGCCAGGGTGGGGTCGGGGCGCTCTGGGTGTGTGGCACACGGGAGGGAGCCCAGCAGCCATCGAGTCTGAATCCTGGTGGTGGCGACATGGATGAAGTCGCCCAGCGTTTGTAGCCTGTGCAGTCTGGACGGCTTGGTGACGTCCCACAACACTAACGCAGGAGGAGGGGGCTGCAGAGGACCTCCCCACACATCCCCACTTTTCTTCGCAACTTCCTGTGAGTCTGTAATTCAAGATAAAACTTTTAAAATGCAATGGAGGAGGTTGTGAGGCTGAGGACTGACACGGAGAAAGGTCTGGGGAAGGAGGATGATGTTGGGCTTCCCCAGAGCCACAAGCTGAGGGCGGCCAGGTGAGGTCACCCAGACCCAGCCCCATGGGCAGCACAGAGCACCTGGCCCCCTGCGTCCTGTGCACGGGAGCCACAGCCACAGCCAGGGCCGTGTCTGCTCTGAGGGTGCTTCCTGCTGCGGCGGCAGAATTTCACCACACTTGCCAGGTGGGATGCACCTGCCTGACCCAGCGTGTCCTGGGGGACCTTCCCCTGCACACACGCAGGCCTGGGCTACACTGACCTGCCTTTTGCTCATGGCTCTCGGTGACCTCTGCCCTCGAGGACTGGGCTGCTCTCTGGACCAGGCCCCAATTCTGATCTGAGAAGTGAAGATCCCCTCTCTGAATGTTTAGGAGGTTAAGGAGGCTCCAGGGGCTCACAGAGGCTTTAGTGGAGGGCCAGGGTCACCCCAAACTCCACAGCCCTCCTTGAGTGCGATAGGCACCTGCTACGGCACAGCTCAGATGCACGGGCTGCGGGGAGCATGGGCACA